CCAAAAAATATCCCATATGTTAATTCCAGTCATTAGCTATTTGTGTATCAAATTTTATCCCAATCCGTCAGGCGTTAATGCGTAAAAAAGCAATAAACATACTCGCACACTTGCTGATTCCCAAACTTTCAGACTTATAATGTTAGTAGGATTCTTTTAGGATGTGTACATATATGCATACTTATATACATTTATGTAAATATATGCATGCATGTATGTGCACAATTATCTAACCTAAAGTTAGCTACTCTAGCGTTTGATTTCCCTTTATCTAATTAAAAAAAGATTCTAGCATCCAAGCAAGTTCGTTGCTTAAGTCTTTTGTTTGCCAGCGTTTGGATGTTGCACATCTTTTATGAAGAAACTATTTGCAACTGGTTTTTACGAATTATTCAGTTGCAATTGCCTTGACCTACATGAAGAGAGATCACTATAAGCAGATAATGGCGTATACAAGACTAATGGAAAAAGATGCTTTAACGGCAGATGCATTCAAGCAATGAATGAGTCGTTAATGGCGTAGTAATGAGGCTATTTAAGCTATCAGCTACATCAGCAGACTCTTCTACATGCAAATCATTGGCATAAGTATACAGGGTGCGTTAAGCATTGCAGTTATATACTTGTTTTTTTTTTGGCAACTTTAAGTTCTTGCACGCGCCCTTAAACTGACTAGCGTTTTTTTTAACTATTTTGTATGCCATAAATAAAGGCTTCTGCCACTTGAAGATTTATAATAATTAAGCGCAGAAGAAAAACTAAAATTATACTAATTGCGGAAGTAGTATGCGAATAACTTATAGTGCCTTTTGTTGTACACCGCAAGTTGGTAATTGCATTTTCGGCTGCAACTTTTTCTTCAAACCACAAATGTGTCTTAAATGCAAGTCATAAGTCAAACAATTTATTTGCTGGCAACTGACCACAAAATACTTCCGCTTCACGCACTTAGGCGAAATGAAAATCAGTTTCTTTTGCCTCTGCAAATGCACTTGATTTTTTGACTTATTGTTTGTATTGTTTGGCAACATTAATGCCAGCTGGATCACAAATCTCCTCTGGTGAGGCGGCTTTTATCGCTTTTCAAAGAGCGGAAATTATAGCGGCTGGTAGTTGTTTGAAATGAAAATGTGTTAAAGATTTCAATTTATAGGAAAGTTTTACAATCACAATTGTACCACAGAGTGGCGGCTGTTTTAAAGTGCCATTTGTTAGCTAAGGTGATTTCAGTTTTCCACTCCATTTTGTTTTTATTGAATTTTAATTTTCTTCCGCCATTTAAGTATTACCATTTGGCATTGCTGGCCTTATTTCAATTGGAAGTTAAACTTGTTAAACCAAGCGACTGATAGAGTGTCAAGTTTGGTGATACCATTGAATTGGATGCTAAAAAAATGGCTGAGTTAATTCGAGAAATGCCACTTGCTAGCTCAAAAGAAATTTATATTGGTATGATAGTAAGGGAGGAGAGTCGAAAATTGCCGGTGTCAGAGCTCTAGACACAAGTGTCCATTTAATGTTCCAGGAAAAGACGCCTTCATTACCTTTGTCGCGGAAGAATACTCTACAACGGTGAACTCAGTCAGAACCTGAGTGAATATTAAGCTGAGCAATAACGGGATAGGGTGCGTCAGATGGGCAAAACTTACATTGCTCTCAAATTCAAAAGGTCAAGCTAGGCATTTGTTTTCATTGTGTTTCATGAAACAGGACTCCGGGCAACTTGTGGGACTGCGGGAAACTTGTGGGTAATTTTTTCATAACAAAAATACTTCCTGCCTTGAAGAAGATGAGGCGACTTTTTGTGCGGCTGCCAGAGATCCGGGTTCGAAACCTCGGGTAGCGAACGTTTTTTTACTATAATTTTATCCTTTGTATAATTCAATTTGCTTTTAATTATTAGATTTCATTGTCCTAAAAAGAAAAAACAAAATTTTTTAATTTAATTTTTAGAAACTTATTTTATTTAATTTTGAATTTTTTGTTTAAGATTTTATTGTTTTAAAAAGAAAAATATACTTTTTAAATTACACTGAGCTTTTAGAAACGTATCTGATTTTTTTCTATTTAATAAAAAAATTTAATTTTTTTTTTAAACCGGTTAGTTGCAATCCGGTTAACTGAAAACTCTGCTTAATTGGCACGGAAACTCTGCTGGCCCCACTTTTATTTTTGCTTTTTCATACATCGTTTATTTGAGACTTCGGCTAAATGAAAAAATCGGTTCAATGAATCAACATTTATATATGTCTCGAAATTGGAATATACACTCGTCGAGATCCGTTTAAATGCAACTGTTTATTAACTCATCTTCATAACATGAAATGGCCGGGGAAGTGTTTTCGAAATTATGACAACCCGGTTCTGGCAAATAAGTGATCAGCTGATTTCATAGAATTTGTCGAGCAAGCTAACGTGGTTCGAATTATGAAATTTAGTGAACCAAATTCGGATAGCTAAAATTTGGCGGTATAATAAAAGTTCGCTTGTTTGTTAATTTTATTGTGGTGTATTAATGTGTTTATTCCAATAGTGTTGTTAAGCTTTGTACTACGATTTGTTTATTAGGAAAAATGGAAACAACAACAAAGTCTTAGCGGTAGAAGTTATAGCTGCTATTTCGGACTTTTTTCTAGACTTCAGCGGGGATCAAAGCCTCAGCATCGATGTGCAAAGTCAGAAGTGCTAACCACTGAGCTATGCACATCCCGTAAGCTCTTGTTGCTAATCCATTTCCTTATTCAACTTAATTGGTTACTGTTAACCAAAGTTGAGCTAATTGAAAGCCGCGGTTGATTGCAACTACATGGCTGAAAAAATAGTGTTGCAATTAATCGGTAAAAAGAAAAAATATATATTTTATTTCGTTTAATTTTTAGGATTTTATTTTTTTTTCAACTTTAGTTTTTGTCTTTTTAAGTAAATTGTCTTACAATTTTGTTTTAAAAATAACGATATCATTTAAAAATATTATTTTTTATTTTTATTTAATTTTTAAATACACACTATTTACTCCTTCTTTGATCAAAGTTTTTTTTATAATTTTTAGATTTTATTATTTTCAGAAACACCAGAAATACTTAAATTTTTCTTCAAAATTTTTTAGTTTTAAAAGGAATAAATATATATTTTGTTTTAATTCATTAAACTTCTAGAGGCATATATTTCAATTTATTTATCTTTTTGGTTTTAGATTTTATTGTTTAAAAAAGAAAAGTTAGTTTTGATTTAATTTGATTTTTAGGATCATATGTTTTGACCTTTTTTTTCTTTTTCAATTTAATTGTTTATTGATTCTTGGATTTTGTTTTAAAAATATTAAAATGTTTTTAATTAAATTTTAGGTACTATTTTCTTATTTTTGATTTAATTTTTTTATTTTACGTCTCGGTAATTTTTGAAAATTTGTTTGCCAAATTTTTTGTGTAGTGTTTTTCATGTTGGGCATGCTTTTTATATGTGAAAAGTGCGCAACATCGTATGGAAAAAAATTTCAAAATTCAACCAGAACTTTGAGCTACTTCAAGCCTACACTTTATTATACTGAAATAAAATTTTCCAAACAATTTTGATTAAAAGGCTCCAAATTTTGATGAAAAATTTATGAATTTTTCTAAATATTATATAAAGTTTTAAACTCTTATTTATATAGTTATTGTCAAGGTATGAACTGTAATTAAATAAAATTAGTTTTTTTTATTAATTTACAAAATTCTTCCTCGTGTTTTTTTTTGCATAGCCACAAGTGTATATAGTCCTTTGTAACTTGTCTGAATTAAAACGCGTCATTATTCCACTTCTGAATCATAAATTCTTAATACTCCGCATCTATTGCTCACAAAACAAATAATTTTTTACACAAAAAAACAAAACCGACTTCGATTCTCATATACAAATTTAAAAGTACCGTTAATTTCTGCATGATCCAATGATCGGATCTAAACCAAATTAGTATGGGACAACCTCTGAGGCCTTAAAAAAATTATAGAAAACGGTCAAAGTGGTCCAAAGTCATGCGGTAACATACAGTAAAAAAAAATAGTATTCCAAAGAATTGAAAACCTCCCCCTTTTTTTGAAGTCGGTTGAAAAGTAAAATCAATTACAAGATAAAAAAATAAGGTCGGCAGAAAATGAAATGTGATCAAGAAAAAAAGAAAATCCCAACGGCTATGGCGTTCTCGAGTATTATTAAAGACGCGTGTGCCTGCAACGAACCCCACCCACATTGACGGCAGCTGCTGATACTTACTCATTTGAGCAGCATTTTGCAAATATGCCTACTAAAAGCATCATTAATTATGCAAGTGTTTGCATTTGTTGTGGCTTGTTAGCCAATAAGTAAACTGAAGATATGTAGGAAAATTTTAACGGCAAAAGATTTACAAAAGGGGATAAGAAAATAAATCAACGCCGATGTGCGAAAAAATTCCATAGGCGCTGCGCTGCTGTTCAAACAAGTTTTTGCACAATATTTGGGCGGCTGCTGTTTCAATTCACTGTCGACTTTAATACATATTTACATACTGCATACGAAATTGCACATTTTTCTTGACACTTTGCAACATTTAAGCCGCTGCCGCCGTTAGTGCCGGTGTTTTTTTTTAGCTCTATCGCTGGTCGTTGACGAAGCCGTCAAGGTATTGTAGACATGTGTAACAAGCCACCTACTTAGCGCCAACACACACCCATTTGCGTTGCACATTAGCACAATTGCGAATAATTGTTGGGAAAAAATTTCTATTTTTTTTTTCTTTCTACAACCGGCTGAACGAAGAAGAAAATAGCAATGGCAGCGGCAAAGTGCAGCTAAAGAAGCGACTCCATAAGTATGCTACAGTAGAAGTTATGTATTACCTGTTCAGCTGTTGTTTGCTGCGAGATCGTTGCTGCTGTTTTTGTATTTGTTGATTTTTCGATCTGCTGTGACAAGAATTGCGCAACAGCGACCCAGCAGTCGATAGCTACTTGTCGTGACTCTCAGCTGAGCTTGTTGCGGCAATATTTTAGCACTTGTCTTATGCTGGCTGCATGGCTGGCGGGGGGGTTCGGAAATAATGAATAGTTGTAACAGTGGCACGAATAGCTTGAGCGACGGTGATGGGTGTTGAAAAGGGCCAACGGAGAGACAATGCATGTGTGGCAATCGCAAGCGAGTTTGTTGCTTAAGTCTTTTGTTGTTTCACTGTTGGAAGAGTTACTGAATTCATCATACTAATACAAACATGAAGTAATATTTACATGCATGCATACAAATGTCACCTACTGTTGCATCACATACTAATTCCCTTTTTCTCCCTCTCCCTTTCTCTATATCACCCATTCAGGTCCTAAGGAATTCTCCTACCGCGGTCGCAACATGTTCCTCAGCTCTCACGTACCAGCGTTGGCCAACAAGAAGGTCGATTGGTTGGATGGTCGTAACTTGTGCCGTGAATACTGCATGGACTTGGTCGCTTTGGAGACACAAGAGAAGAACAATCTGATCTTCCGTGTCATTCAACAGAACGATGTACCTTACATTTGGACTGCTGGCCGTATTTGCGACTTCGCTGGCTGTGAAAATCGTCCCGATTTGGAACCCAAAAATGTTTACGGTTGGTTCTGGTCTGCCACCCGCGAGAAGATTCAAGCCACCAACCGCATTCCACAAGGCTGGGGCTACAATCCATGGTCGCAAACTGGCCACAAGAAGCGCCCACAACCTGACAATGCCGAATACGAGATCAACCAGACCAAGGAACAGTGCTTGTCGGTGTTGAA